AATACTGTTTAGGATGCAACCCTAACGTTAATAACTAAATAAACTTGCACGAGTTTTCTTCTTTTCTTTTTTAGGCAACAGGCAGTTGCCAAAAGTTTGAGAAATATGACCATCATTCATCCCCTCGACTCAGAGCCAGAACAAGCGGCCACGCGGTTTGGTGTCTATCCTATGCCGCCAACGTTAATCGTATATCCTCGCGCTGGGGTTGGCAAAGTATAAAACGCGTCTTGAGCTCCAGGCATTGTTGGAGTTCGGCTATTCTCAATCCGCAGTGATTGGACACAAGCCTCTGCCTGACTGTCCGCCGAGGCATTGATTGTTACAAGCCGAAGTCGAATGTTCTATCAGTTCTCGTGTCCAATCCATGAACCGTGTTCTACTGTCATCCTGCGGACGGTTTCGATCACGAAATTACGTCATCAAGCTCTGCGTATTTAAGACTGAAAGAAATAGTCCCCTTTTATCCTCGCAATGTCACCGCGACAAAGAGGATTCTGAATCAGTGCGAAGATACTTGGGCCAGACTAGGACCAGTACGCCTCTGCAAAGTCATGAACACTCCAACCCGATATCGTATTATAACCCCTTTAATTTGAAAGCAAGTGAGTGTACGTAGTTTAGCAAAGTGTTGGAACACCCGCGGAGGGGGGTACTCCCCCTCACCCCTTCAGTCTGCCTCCCACAGAGCCGCATATTGAGAGAGTTCGGCCAATGGGCGGAGCTAAATTAAGGCCGCCACCAGCGCCGAGAATTCCCCCCGCGGTTGGAGCGTAAACAAGAAGTGCGACACAGCGCTGAACAATCAGCAGACCTCGACGTCACAATATTGGAAATGACATTTAAAGCGTGAAACAGAAGCGTTCATCTCGTAGCAGCAATTATCGCAGCTACGCAGTTTGCTCTGGTTAGGAGCGCACATTTCGTTTATTCGACCGTTGAATGTGGACGTGACAAAAACCTCACATGTGCTAAGTTTTCAGTCACCAAGAGTTACACATTATTCTAGCGACGCTAAAACGACTTAAATTAGTCGAGTCGCAAATTTAAAGGTCACGACTACCGCTAGGGGCTGTTGCGCGGCATGTGGTTAGCCACGAGATGCTCGTCTATTCCAGCCATTGAATAACCAAACTCTCCCAATACACGGCTCTGGCCTCTCGTCGTTTGGCGCGCCATCTAGTCGTTTCAAAACTACATTTTCCATAGAGTAGGTTAAACGCCATCTAAATCCTGTGCTTCAAAGCATACGTATTCCAAAAAATACACATCAGTTACCGTTCCCAAAAGATGGCGCGTCGAAGGACTTAAGATTAAAGCCCCGCTATATTTTTAATTTGTTTTACTTAAGGTGGACCTTTACTTAAGGTGCATCATGTGGGGAGGAAAAGGGGGGGGGGGGGGGGGGGTGCTGCTTGTGGAAGCAACGTCTGCGGGCAATGAGCTAACCTAGTGCCACTAAATAAGCTACGCTTATTTAGTGACACTAAGCTAACCCAGTAAAGTTATTCAGAAACGCGCACCACGTTTGTAGTAAAGTCACTGAATCCTGGGAAGGCAGTGCCAAGCTCCCCGTATGGTCGCCATTTTGGTTCATGGAATGAGCAGTTTCTCCATGACCTCTCCATTTTCGGTGAGTCGATGTGAATTTACGCTGACAAGTTGCTTTATAAAAACGTTTCTTGTGTAACGAAATTCTGTTATCCACAAGCGTTTTTCAATGCTTTGTGGCATTGAAAAATGCTTTCCCTGTCTTGATACGCACGAAGAACTATATTATTGTAAGAGATCCATGGAGATAAGCGTGATTGATAAGTTAATGGCATGCATAGTGCTAAAGATGCTTATACTAATGAGCATCGCTTTCAGTTTTACACGACACCCCATTCGCGGCAAGAAGCTTGCTAGAAAAGTGTATATTTTTCTCACTGTTGTTAGCGCGCGTGCTACCCACGTGGTTATATCTTAATTTCCATAGTGCATAGAAGCTTGCCATTGCACGTGCTTGCACCAGCAGAGGAAGTTGAAGTACCCTCGCTCTGGGTTCTGAAAAATTTCTCTATTCGACGATACCCAAAACCTCGCGGCGAATAACGATCTTAACGCAACTTGCTTAGAACAAACCTTTGGGAGCATCGAAGATTCGAAAGGACCGAAATGGTCACGACCTTGGCAACAGAGACTTACCGCCGAATTCAGAAACCTCACTCAAACTACACTCAAACTGAAGGGCCCCTCCACTTCCTCGAGGGCCGGCGCTGGCCAATCGCAACGGCGGATCCGTCCTCGCGATTGGCCAGAGCCGGCCCTCGCGCCTTCCTCGAGGAAGTGGAGGGGCCCTTCAGTTTGAGTGTGGTTTGAGTGAGGTTTCTGAATTCGGCGGTAATCAGCCAATCGCCTTGCGGGGTTAAGGTTGATTGTATGTTGGTCAATGTTCGTGTCCGACTAGCGCGGGGCCCACACTTTAGTTTGGAGCAGTCTAATGTTCGTAGCAAACGCTGTCAGATTCAGCAAACTCGGATGCCGGACATTTCATCGTTTTAGCGGTTGACACTGAAGATTTTTTCCGAGGTCGGCACGTGGTGGCAGGCACTGCCTTTTTTAACGGACAAAAAGAAAAGGCTGTGTCGGAAGAAAAAGACATGTTATTCACAGTACCGACGTGATTTCGGTTACACTCCCCCAAAATGACCCGTGAAATCCAGGAGCCTCATTCCTCCGCGGTCAACATACACAGCCAAGTGTTATTCGACAAGTGATAGTTTAGTTTAGCAACAGATTAAGCTGCCGGCCACGTCTGAATGCATTTTATTTTGCCACAACATTCGCCGTCACAAAGAGCGGAACGGCGCTTCTTTTTTCGAACACACACCGCGAGCATCCGAAACCACAACCCCCATTCGTCTCAATCATTATTATCGTCATCACCATCGACCTTATCCACATCGTCAGAAACAATAGCCTTGTTATAAGGCTGCAATGGCGGCCTGTTCCGAGTGTCCCAAAATTCGCGATCGTCGAGACACCATGACCCAAAAGATCGGCATGTGAAAATTGTTTCTCGGGAACGTGGTGAGCTTCTGTCGTCAACAACGTAACTGCCTCGTTGGTCTGCCAGCCAACGTTCGTTTGATTTCAGGTAAGTATCCCGCCCAGACACCCGAGTGTTTCGATTCACAAGATGTCATGCTGCTCTGATTATGTAGCTACCTTCTTCCTGGCGGTCGATACGTCATGCGGCGTGATTGCAGCGAGCTCGTTTCTGGCGCATATATTAGTGCGCGCCGTCTTTTGCTTATCTTTTTTTTTTTGCTGTTGACATCTTTGCAAGATGAATGCTGCCGCCGGATTATTGAGCGGTGGTCTTGTGTTTCAATCTCCACTTAAACACTTAGGCAGTTCAACGACCCAACAGTTTGTAGGGCTGTAGTTTTCTGTTTGGCGCGACAATCGGACTATCAAGCTAGTCTGAACTTATTTTAAGCTTTTGGTGTCACATGTATTTGTTGCGGTCCCGAGAATGATTGTTTGGATTTCAATCATATCTACTCGAGACAAGCACTAGTGTGGAGATGTACATCACCGGCGGAAGCTCTGCTGCTCTTGCTAAGGACTATGCTTCGTTCGTCTATATTTTGTACTAGTCCATCTTTGATCTCGAAGTATTAAAATTGTTCGGTATTTTTGTTGGTCAGATGGGACATATTAACATTTTTAAAAACAGGACTTTCTTCACAGGCTGAAAAGGATACTAATATATGTGTCCATTTTTGATAATAATATTTTCGCTCCTTAGGAAGCGTAAAGCATTGTGGTGCAACTTTTTGTGCGGCAGTAACAGCGTCAGGTTAAGCTGCGTCTTACAGCAACGCATAAGGTACAATCCTGTTTTACTTATTTTGGTGGTAGAGTTTTAGTTTTCGGGGTTCGGTATTTGTGTTACAAATGATTTGGCGTGATACATCTACGCTTATTTCTCAACACAGGGTCGGCTTTCATTCATGTTTAATCAATGTGGTTGTGATTCCTACACACAATATTAGTGTCAAAAGGGCGCAGATAAGAAAGAAGTGGAGCAGGCAAAACTGCGAATATACAGAGGTATCAAAATTACAAAGGTTGCGTTGGTTTCTTTAACCATTTTGGTCTTATATTAAAAAAAAAACAAAAAAAAAACAGCAGAATAATAAACTAAAATTTCGTCCTAAACCCCGGCGTAATTTCTTTCAATATAGTAAAATTGAAGTGATAATCATGCCGAAAACTCATTCATATTTGTAGGCATGTGCGAGTAGTGTATTTTGAGTCCTAATCGAATTGGAAGCGAAAAGTAGTTTTGGCTTAATATTTTAAAATAAAATATTCGGTTAATTTTAATATAACTAAATGTATGAACTGTGGCATGTAAGCGACAAAAAAACATATTCATCTTTACGTTATCTCAAAGCACCTGTGAGAGGTATTTATATGCGGTCATCAGCACGTGAGTGAGTGAGAAAACGTATTTATTAGAGGAATGGGATACATCACGATTTCTTGATAAAGTCATCCAATCGTGACGGGAGAAGGGGATTATGGGAAGGGTAGGGGGAGGAGGCTAAACGTAACAGGCGATCCCCGATGAGCGGACGAAACTAATCAGGGCATCGAGAATGTGTTTGCGGTGCGGGTGCTCGAGCCTGGGGCGGGTCCAGTCCTCGTACGTAGCTGTTCTTGCCTCTTCAGGGAGTGAGCTTATGGCCTCGTTACGATGCTCTGCAACCCCCTCGCACGTCCAGACGAGATGGATGCACGTGGCTGGAATGAGATATGGGTAAAGCAACTTATCGTTTGCCATGAACAGCCCCTTTGACGGTGTGAAGTGAATCTGACGAAAGCTTTCTGCGATCACGCACATAACCGTAAAGCGCACAGCTATATCAAATGGCAGTACAGCATTGCCTGGGTTTAATCAGCGCCCTTTATTATTGCAGCTCGTCAGCCGCCTCAGATTGGCCACCATGTTTGACTGTTGCTTGAAGTCGGCGCGGGGCCGGCAGCTCCCAACGAGGAAAGACTCGAAGATGTTCCGTATGGCCCGGACGGGGAGGCCCCCGTCTCTGTTGGAGTTCTCGGCCGCCAAGGTTCTGGAGAGGTATAATGAGCAGCAAGAGAAGTGAGCTCTAAATTTTGTTTCTTGTTTCCTTTGTGAAGTTAAGCAGAAAGAAAAACTAAACACAGCTTCAATCTGGTCGCTGAGGTGGTGGCGGCGCAAATTCGTTAGCAGCTATCACTCTGTTTTCAAAACGAAAGTTCTCATGCTGAGCTATACACCTGCAACACAAGAGCCTTTTGTTCAGAGAGCACGGGTAAAAGACAATTGTTACATATCTCCTGGCGAGAAACAGTGCCGCCAAAGGTTTTTGGAATTATTGGAAAAGGGGTGGGGGGGGGGGGGGGGGGGCGCATGGAAGTAGAAAAGGAAGATTTTATGCCCCTTAGCCCAAGTTTTTACTATACATGTTCCTTTATTTATGTCAATGGGAACAATCGCACCCTTTTTTTTTTTGTTCCGACGGCACAGGAGAGAGATGTCAAATTCACTTAGAACTCGCACCCTAGTATAACCAATACTTTTTTATGTGCTCACCATTTTTATGCTACATAGCCCGATGGATTCATACATCTGTAATAGTTTTAGAAACAAACATATACTTTTGGAAATGTAATAAGTGTGTCAGCAGTAATTTTAAAAAATTCCACGCAATAATGATTCCAGAGTTGTCAGACACTAATTTGAATGAAACTTTGATGACATTGACGTCATATTGTCACGAATGACAAGTGATAAGCCGGCGAATAACTGAGTAAACCGAATGTTTCATTGGGCGAATTTGTGCCCCCCTAAAATAAAAAGGAAGCAGAAGATAACAGCAGAGCGTCGCGGGCGCCGATGTCGGCGTAAGGGTAGAGTCGAACGCTGGGGCGAGACTCCGACTCGCCACGCGGAGTTCCTTTTGTACACGTGTGTGCTTCTGGAACAATCGGCCTAGAAGGTCCGGCGCGTTGAACATTCTGACCTAGAACAAGCATTACGGTTCTCGAATTTACCAGAACATCACGTTGCAGAGTCAACAAAAATGTATGTACCCGCGGCCAGGCATCGAACCCTGGCTTTTTGCGTGGAAGGGAAGCGCGATGCTGCTGCTTGGTCAGGTGCGCGAGCCGCAGTTCACAGTTCACTCTATGACGAGAGTCCAAAGTTCTATCATTCGTAATACGGATTGAGCCGGATAACGTGCACTACCTCGGATCTTGGCTGGCGTTTTACAGATGGGCGCGTTCCGTCGAGAAGAACTTCGGAGTTCAGATCGCCGAGGCGTCAGATGATCTTGAAGGGCTCGAAATAGCGTTTCAGAAGCTTCTCGCTGAGATCGCGGCGCCGTATCGGTGTCCACACCCGTACCCGGTCTCCGGGTTGAAAGTGAACGTCCCGGCGGCGAAGGTTATACCGGCGTCCGTCGACTCGCTCTTGGTCATGAATCTTGATTCGTGCCAGTTGGCGAGGTTTTTCCGCACGTTGCGCGATCAGTTGAGCGTCGTCGTTCCGATCGTCGGCCGGCACATGAGGCAGCATGGCATCGAGCATCGTGGTAACCATCCGGCCATGTGCCAGTTGGAACGGTGGTTTCTTGAACCGCTGTATTGTACGCAAACGTGACGTACGGCAACACCTCGTCCCACGACTTGTGCTCTACGTCGACGTACATGGAGATCATGTCGGCGATCGTCTTGTTGAGCCGCTCCGTTAGCTCATTGGTCTGTGGATGATAAGCGGTGGTTCGTCGATGGCTGGTGTGACTCAACCGAAGAACTTCATGAGTCAGATGTGCCAAGAAAGGTGACCCGCGATCTGCGATCAACACTTCAGGTGTGCCGTGTTGAAGGAGAATGGACTCTACGAAAAACTTGGCGACTTCAACCGCTGTTCCCGATGGAAGGGCTTTGGTCTCGGCGTATCGTGCAAGATAATCGGTAGCCACAATAATCCACCGGCTTTCTTGCGTCGATGTTGGGAACGGCCCAAGTAAATCCATTCCAACCTGCTGGGCCGGTTTTCTCGAAGCGATGGTAAACCCATTTTGGTAAACCACGGTGCCTAGGTAGGGAAAAGTACCTAGATACTGTAATAAACGGCTGGATATAGAACAACAATTTCTTTTTGATTGGGCAATAAGATGCGCCATCTATCGGCGAAACAATTGCCAGTCATTTTGTTTATCTTCTTTTTCCGCTGGTTGTCATCGATCTAGTATGGTATTTTAAGTCAAAATATAGTAATGTTGTACTTGAAGACCAATTTATTTGTTTCCGATGGTAGGAAGAAATTTTAGCTACTATGCTAGAGTTTGTCGACGAATATTCGAAAATGTAAGAAACATTTCCTTCAATATGTTTCGCCATAAACAACGCATAACTTTCCCGTGTTCCTTCCAGTCTGGCAACGCCGGTGCTGTTGTCTCGTTTTTGTTCCTTGCGACGCACGTTTCTGCGATTCCTGCTGATCTCAACTGTTTGCCCTTTCTTCCGTTTGCCCAACCGATCCACCGGTGACGAGAAGCTAAGCTTCTCGTCACCGTTGAATTGCTGGCCACCGGGGATATGTAGAAACCTCAATGCTGTCGGCATACTGTTGGCGCACTGTGAACAAAAAAACAGTACAATGTCTCAGCTGTTCACCCGGAACGAAGACTTTATTGAGGATAACCCCCTTTCTCCGCAAAGTAATCGCTGCTCACGAGTTGGCGTGCGTAGTGTAACAAATTGAACGTCTTATTATAAATATATACCAACACTCGTTCGCAAAACATTTTTTTTTACTCACCATAAAAATACTTGCAAGGCTTATGTACCGTCATATTTCTTGGATCCCGGACTGCTGAAGAGTGATGCGTTCGCGGAATGCTGCCGTGGGTTAGTTTAGTAGTCCCTCTGAACTATCGCTTTGCTTGACGTGCTAATAGGTTGATGGTGCGTCATTAATATAACAGCCGGATCGAAATGAATGCTCAGCAGAACCAAGCAGAACTATTAGGTTAGCCCTCATTAAGCGACGCCGCGGCCATTTTGCTTCTAGGTACTGCTCCTTCTTCGGCGCCCCTGCTCTTCCAGTCACGTGACCAAGAATTCCCCCTTCTAGGGACAATAGTTAACTTCAAACCACGGTTCGCGTTCGAGAAAATGGGCCCTGGAAGGGCATATTCGGGGCAGGTATGGGCTGGAGAAGTCCTGCTCTCTTCGTCGGAGGCTTTTTTACGTCGTTGGCACTCATGACAGGACCGTGTGTACAAATGGACGGCTTTCGGGAGTCTCGGCCAGTAGTACTTGTCCAAACTCCGGGCGAGCGTCCTGTTGTAGCCAAGGTGTCCAGCCGTCGAGTCGTTGTGGCGTGCTTGAAAGATTTCTTCTCGCAGGCTGGCAGGAACAACCAGCAGCCAGGCAGGGTTGCTGGTTCCGAAGTTCTTCTTGAAGAGCACGCCTCGCCGCAGAACGAAGGTTGACAAGTCTCGGGCTTGTCAAGCTTCGTTCTGCAACGTTACGTCGTCTAGCATTTCTTGGACCTGCTTCTTGATGACTTCTCTCTCTTTCACGGAGACACGATACGGCGACCGATGAACAGGAAGCGCGTAGTCATCAGTAATAATTCGACGTTTCGCAACCGTCGTTTGGCGCACCTTTGATGACGTGGAGAAGCACTCACTCAACTCGGCGAGAAGGTCACTGAGTTGTCGTCGTTGTGGGGCTGGGAGGGACGGGTCGATGTCGAGCTCTGACGGCATGGTTCTCTTGTGCTGCGTCGGAGAAGCGTCTTCTGAGATCACGGCGATCGCGGCTGAATCCTGAACTTCCTCGACGTAGCCCGCAGCTGTTCGTTTTGTAAGGTGCTGCGGCTCTTGCCGGAAGTTGGTGACAAGGGCTACGGTAGGACCGTCCTGGAGCTCAATTACGCCACTTGCATTGCCAATCCCTCCTCTAATAAAAATTTGGACGCTTCCTTCCACCAGTGCTACACCGCAGGTGCCTTCTTCGGTCCCGACGGGCACAAAGACACTCGACAGCGGCGGCAGGTTTACGTGGCTGGTAAGGACTCGCACTGCGCCTGACGTCGCTTTGAGATTTTCCGCCGATGGGACAACTTTTCGAAGCGTCAGCTTGCTCTCTGCAAGGTCGATAATGGCGCCGTGTTCACACAAGAAGTCCATTCCGAAAATGACATCCCTTGAACAGTCTTGCAGAATGACGAACTTCCCTGGGCAGGTTTCTCCGTGGATTTCAACACGAGCAGTGCACCTGCCGACAGGGGTGATGAGATGTCCACCGGCGGTGCGTATCTGCAGTCCGTCCCACGACGTCGTGACTTTACGAAGGCGGCGAGAAAATGTCCCACTCAAAACTCCGGTGTCGATGAGCGCCGTCGCGTCGTGACCGTCGATGATAACGTTGAGGTTATTCGACACTTTGGCAGAAATATCATTTCGGGGCGTTGCGGCATTAGAGTGAGAGTGCTCCGACGATCTTGGAGGATCTTGGCATCGTTCGTCTTCGGGAACAACACCTCCCGGCATTGCCGCGCCTAGTTTTACCAACGGGAAGCGATGGGTGACAGGCTGTCTCTGCGAGACCGGCGGAAGGGCGATGGCGAGTGTCGGGGAGACGGTAAACGGAATTCTCGGCGGGGAGTCGACTCAGAAGATGAAGACCGGCGGAGGTAGTCCTCGATGTCCCGAGGTCGCTCTCCGAGACGTGGTCGAGGATCGTTGGGCGCAAACCTTCGTAGGCCCTGCTGGCGGTAGGGGTATCGTCGGTAGATGTGGTCCACTTCACCGCAGTGGTAGCACAGCGGGCGTCGATCAGCCGTTCGCCATACGTTGGTCTTCCTAGGCGCCGGTTGTTCTCGCCGGACGTACTGAGGTGGGTCGTCGAGACGTCAAGGGTACGCCTGTGCTGGTGCGTCCCGTCGTCGTGACCCAGGAGGTTCATGGGCCGCTGGTGGCGGTCGTCGGGCCATGGCGGCGTAGCTCACCGTCGGTTGTTCCGGTGGTGGCAAGTCGACGGGAGCCTCCGGCTGGAAGGCTCACTGCACCTCCTCCCGCACTACTTCGGTCAGGGAGAGCG